CATATACTAGCAATTCAAATTGTGAAAATTACAGATGTTAATTTTATTTCTTGCCAACTTGGAAGTTGGAACTAAATATCTAGTCGCATATGATTATTTTAAATAAAAATTTTAACAAAAAATAATTGGAACCCCAGTTAAATATGTCCATTCATGTTTTCTGCTTCAAACATAACTCAGTTTCACGAACAAAATAATGAAAAATGAGTAAAGAAATGCCGATAAGCACTACATGACAACAAATAAGGTTAAAAAACAGCAATAAAAACTAAAAAGGCAAAATTTTCAGTTAGCTATTATATGAATCCAGACAACAAATATGGAAAAGAAACCATAGTCTCGCAGAGAATACTCAAAAGTGTAAAAAAAAGAGGGAAAGACGACATGTAATCACCAATTATTAGTTATTACTTGATATACTGAGAGACCCATTTGAAGCCATCACCATAGCCCATCTTGCGAACAATGCTACACATAAAAACCTCAATAGGGCGAACATTCGAGTCGGCCAAGTTGACCTTTCCCTTGCCGGTAGTTAGGCCCGTCAAGCCCAAGTTGTAACGCAGCTCGTCTTCCGAGGCAGCATAAGGGATATCAATCTTGTTGCCCAATATCAAGAACGGGACAGTAGCCAAGGACTCGTCTGACAATAGAGCATCGAGCTCTTTCTTCGACTCTGCAAACCTCTCCTTGTCGTAAGCATCAACTAAGTAAACGACCGCATCCACCTTCGGTACCACCGTAAATAATTAATTACACATTAAGAAAAAAAAAAAGGAGGCAAAAATGCATTTTTAGTCATGTTTGTATAACGTCATAGCAATTTTAGTCTCAAGATTTCAACTTTTCGACTTTTGGTATGTGATTTAATATTTTGCTAGCAATCTGAGTCATTTGAGTACTGAAATTGCAACAAAATTTTAGATTACATGACTGAAATTGCTAATAGAAAATCTGGGAATTTGTTGCAATTTAAGTCCTCAAAGGACTCAGATTTGTCAGCAAAATATTAAATCACAAATCAGAGAACCAAAAAACAAAATGTTGGAACCTTGAGACTAAAATTGTTACGGTGTTAAACAAACGGAATTAAAAATGCAATTTTTCCTATAAAGAAAAATTATATATGTATGATGCATACTTTTTTATTTGGAAGTATTATCAGAGATGAAAGAAACCATAAATGGAAACGAAGAATTAAAACATCAAAGTACTACATAACAAATTGAATTACAGAAAGAACGAGTGAAGTAATGGTAAAACCTTGAATGACTAAAAGAAAAACGTACAATGACTAGTTAAAGACACCAATGGGACGTTATAACATCTTCTAAAGAATACAATTTGAGAGCTCTTTCCTTTTTCAGGCTTTTTATTCAAGTTATTGGCTTATAAATTTCCTTCCTTTTCAATTGCACAACTTGTAAAGGAAAAGTGGAAACTCCATAACAATTTCCATTTCTAGATATTTTTAGTTCCTTTGCCATTTTACCTTCTTCCTCGACTATGCACAATCCTTTTAGTGTGACAGGTAGTACGCTACTAAGCTCCTATTGAGATTTCACCCAATATAAAATTTGTGACAAGAAATGCCCATAAAA